TTCATAGAGGGGGATTATTAGGAGGCCATGATTGGTAAGGGCCAATGGGAAAGTTGGCCAGGACTCTTTCCGAGAAACGCCCTGGGATTTTTAATGACCACAGAGAGTCAGGACCTCGGTTTTACGTCTCATCCCAAGGACGGATGAGACATTTACTTTGTGCATGGCATAAAGTTTATGTGCATGATCGCTACAAGTTGAGTATTAAGTGGAATGTTCTTCAGAGCTAATAATCTACCATAGGGTTTAAGGATTGCAATCATTTCCACTGCTCGTGTAAAAAGCTATGTGCACTAGAGCACTCGCTATTCTGGAAATAAAAGAAGTCCATGAAAATATTATGAAATATTCAAATAGTAATAGTAATTCAAACACAGGATGGGGTCAGCTGTAAGCATTGTTTAGAGAAATAGAAAGAGCAAATGTGTTTTTCAGTTGACAAGCTTAAAATGAGATTGAAAAAGCCGATTCAAAGGTTCACTGCGCTGTGACACCAAACAGAACTTACCGCGTTCTTCACGAAGTCTGGGAATAGCTGTGAGGGAAACACAAAATACAATTTAGCACCTGGAAAAAGTGAAACTGAGCTAATATTCTTTTTGAGCTCAACCAGAAGGGGAGTTACTCTTCTAGTAGGAACTCCAGCATATAGAAAAATATTAACTGTGTCATACCTGCTGCTCAAGGTGTAATTAAGTAGTGGTCTGAGTTGCAAGGTGAACCCATGTGCAGGGGGAGAGAGAAAAACAGAGTAGTTGCAGGCAGTGCAGTGTGGTAGCAGGCAAGGGACACAAGCAGAGCGTGGTGTAGGTAAACTGTCCGGGGTTGTTATCCAAAAGCAGAAGTCTGGTTGACACTGAGAAGGAACAAAGGTCATGTCCCAGAGAAGAGGTCAAAGCAAGCCAGGGTCCAAGCCGAGATAAGCACCATGGAAAGGAACCAGCACAGGAGTGATCTGAGAGACGTAGAAGAGAGCAAAGCGAGGTCAGGAATCCAAAGCAAGTTCAAAACAGGAGACATGGGAGCTCCAGTGGCTCCCAGCAACTCCGTCATGGAGCTAAACTCTATATCAGAGCCTTGAGCATTGTCCGAGCAGATCTTAAATAACCTGAACCACCTGAGGCAGGTGTGTTTGCACATGGCTGGCTTGCAGGTGATACAGGTTTCCTATCGAATACGTTTCAATGGCAACTGGCACTGACCGACAGGTGAGTTGAGGAGTGGCTGGTTGCCATGGCAGCGCTAGCTCACTCCGCCACAGTACAGCAGTTTCTTATGCTCTTATTTTAATTTATGATGTATTTTATTGGACCCTAAAACCACCCCTTTAAAAAATAAAACTCTGCTTTGCGTCTTTATCTATTTCTTTGGGAAAGTTCATATTTGTACCTAACAGGTCATTAGGCCAAATTATCTTACTCCAGTTACTGCAGCATTAAATTAACATTACATAATTAAGTACATAATTCACCTACAGATTGGGCACTGGTGTATTCCATGAGTACACCCCACAAACACTGGTACCCCAGTTTAACTGAAGACATAACTCATTACTTATGGCAACTCAAGATGGCAACGGTACTGCAGCTGGGATCTGACCCTTAATCACCCTGCAACTCACAACTGGTGTGAGCCTGGCCAGTATCTGGATGGGGAACGTCTGGGAAAGGCAAGGTTGCTGCTGGAAGAGGGCTTAGTGTGACCATTAGGGGGTGCCCACCCTGTGGTCTGTGTGGGTCCTAATGCCCTAGAATAGTGATGGGGACACCATACTGTAATCTCCTTCTATGAACTGGCTTCACTGATAGCTGGTATGTGGTGAGAGTACTGGAGCATCATCCAGGTGGGGCTGCAAACTGGTGGCAGTGGAGGGGATCCCCATTACCTGTAAAGTGCTTTGCATGGACTGTGTAAGGAATTACAATCTTCCAGTTGACCTTATCAAATACTCTAGAGTGTCCATGTTGCTCATTCATGTGTACTTACCTGCAATTTCACATCTATGTTCCTTTTCTAGAGAGGAATGAAAGGAACATGCGTTAATATGGTCCCCATGACGAGGTCTCACATTCATCTTACAATATTTACATGAGTACCAGGCACAAAACACAATAATGCAAGAGCAAGGGTCACAATGGGGGCCGGGACTGCACTCATCTGAGGCAAAACACAATCTTTTTCCTAAACAACATTTAAAAGGCATCACTAAGATGAGTGGCCTTAGAATGAAGAAATGAATCAAAGGATAAAATGAACCCAGCCAAACACCTGGGTAGTGGTCACAGGACAGATTACCATTACAGACTGCAGGACCCATTACCAACCACTGAACTCTGCCTTATCAAGCAGAATGATGAGCCCTGAACAACTGCTTAAATGACTGACTAAGCAAAACAACTGAGCCTTGTATCTGCTCCCAGGCCTCTCAGTCAACTTCAAGGTTTCTCCATTAGTGTTGGACAGCAGGATGTCCAACCATACTGGGGGGGAGGGGGTGGGCTAGTGGGAATAGCCACGGCGTTATTAGTCTGGAAAGATACTTGATCAAAATGAAATGAATCATTTCGAAGTACAGCATCCCATTTTCTTCGGATATTGTTATACCGTACTTGATGGGACCGTACAATTCATAAGGCTGCACCTGGTAACGTACTGCCCGAGTGTATAAGGATATCACGCAGACATACCATTCATTATTTTCCAAGGGATAATAAGCAGAATAAATGCTAGGGCTGCCGGGGCCGAAATTACGAAGAATGCCACCATCCACATCGAGACCTCTGGAAAAAAATCCCCTGCAACACAATGAAGCCAACACCTCAAAGTCAAAGATCTCTCATCAGTTCCCCCATTAAATAGCTAAGAGCATTAAAGTTCAGGTCTCCTTACACCACTCCGAGGCTTGTTGGAGAACCTCATGCGATCATATGTAGAGATGCAATACAGTAGCTTCTCGGCATCTGCAAACTTCACATTTGCTCATGCACAATTTTCTTCTCGGGTGGAAGAAGAGCAGAACAAGATGCAATCGAGCTGAAGGTTGCCAAGTGCAAGTTTCGGATTTGTGGTGCGACAGACTAGGATCGTGAGGTTACGATACTCTCCCTTCCCTCTGCCCAAGTACCCGCTACCCATATCTCAGCGCGGTCTAGGTCTTATAGCGCTCCAGGTTCTGTGTCAGCTGTGTGGGGAATGATAGGCTGGATCACTTTACGGTTTTTCTTGTCCTTTTCGTTACAGTGGTGATTGCTAATCACGCAGCAGGGAAGGCAGTGAGAGAAAGTGCAGGCATCCACTAGACCAAGGAGAGGGATTCATGTTTATTTTACTATAAGTTTGTGATTACTGCCATTTCTTTTAGTTGATCAATGTTATCTTAATTAACTTAAAGCTAATGCACTGGTACTTAAATGATCATATAAGGGAGAATGACTTATGGCTTTTAACTATACATCCTATATACTATAATACATAATCTGACAGTATAGGTGTGAACTTGGTAATATGTGAATTTTGCTGTCTGTGAGGGTTCTCTGCATCGCTCTCTTGCAAATGTCGAGACCCTATAAAAGATACGTACCGTGTTTATAATATGGCCATTCTATATAAAGATTCTGCATTTTTATGAAAATATTTGATATATAGAAAATAAATCCTTTTACAGACAAAGTGATAATTATTTCTCTTACACACACCAGTTGTTGCATACATTACAAATGCGGTATTTTAAACATGCTCACAAACTGTGAGTAATTCATTACCCTGCAAATTAAAGTCCTTTAAACTGCCCTTAGTGTCTTGCTTAAGTTCTGTAAAGTGCTGAAGTCACAGGACCCTAGACACAACACAGACGACATGGAAAACAATTCTTATAGTTCTTTTAAGCAAGATCATGAGTTATCATAAGAAGATTATGTTTCGGGCACAAAATGGGTGCGTTACCTATTGCAATTAGCACAGCAGCAACAGCAGTGAGCTTTGCCTGTGCAAGCTAATCACAACCACCAGATACTCACTGGACATGTAGAACTGGCTTTCTCCATTGGATTCACGTGCTGAGCTCCTAATGATGCAAGAAAAGACACCAGATTCTTGCTTGACTGGGATAAAGCTGCTGACACTGAGAAGCCCCTGCCTGTTACTCTCCAGCGTGATGTTGGACAGCGACGTCAAATCCTGTCCATCCCTGTCCATCCAGGTCACCACAGGTCTGGGGTACCACCCCTCTGACCTGCACACCAGCTGGGACTGACCCCCTTCTCTGGACTGGAGAGACACCGAGGGCTGGGTCCCCAGAGCTGCCGAGAAATGTAAACATCACCAAAAGCGTTCCTCTGAACAAAGGTTTTACAGATTTCAATGGCAAAAAAAAAAAAGAAATCAAATGAATTTTGTGGTGGAGTGGGCATCCGACAAGGTGGAGCTAAAAAGTCTGGATAGTCATGCGCTTTTCAAAATCTGTCATGATGGATCATCGAGTACCGCAAAATAAATCCATCGCCCACCACATGATCCCCGTGAAACTCCTACGACACTAAATGCATCCAAAAAACGCAGCGTGAGCAATGCACTTATTGACATTCATTACAGAACAACGTGATTATAAATGTGTTACTGAGATTTTCCAATCGGCGATTAGGACACCATTTTTTCCTCATCTGAAACAATTACTCAGTCTGTACTTGTACTTGGTGTAGTAGTACAGTCCACTTCTTATTTCAACAGGTGATGATGGGTCCTTATAAATTCATCTGATAGCTTAGCTTCGTGAAATATCTCATGTCCAGTTCCGTTTACGTCATATGCCCGAGTGCAATGAATGGCTTACGTGCATGTATGCACGACAGTAACATAAACACAAAACAGCCTCAGCAACAAGAACAAAGTTATGCATAATGTACATTGCATATGAGATATTATTCATTTGGTGAATGGTAATTATTGCACATCATCTTATATAAGGTTGTCTGCTTTAGATAATAAACAATAAAAGCAGTCAGAAATGTAGCATGGGATTTTTACAGGATGGACTCTTAAGATCAACAGTTTCTATTGCATTAATGTTTCAAAATCCAGGTGTGGAAGAGCACACTCACCTTTTACAGTGACCTCAATAAGCACTTCCTCATACCAGTCTTTGGATTTAGCCAGACACCTGTACAGTCCTTCATCAGACACCTGGACCTTGCTCAGTCTTAACGAGATGTTGCCCCTGTCCAGCTCTCCTTGGAAAAGCTCAGCTCTTCCCCTGTATGACGGGTTCTGATCCTCTATGTTATTTTCAGAATTCAGGTAGAGACAAACAGGGTCATGAAAGTCATCTGTGAACCACCGGACCTCTAGGCCCACAGCACTAACGCTGGGCGAGAGGTAACAGGGCAAAACGATATCTTCACCGACAAAAGCAGCGACAGGCTGATCTGGACCAAGAACTGCGATTCCGTCTGTAAAGAAAAAAAAGATGTGTACAGAAAATGTCAGCTTCAGTCTTCCCTCTTGAAGAGTGGATGGACTGCTTCACAGTCCTCACACAACTCACACATGCTTTTCTCTTAATTGGATCTTGGGCTGACCATACCTGATTCTGAATAAACCAGGGGCTGGAGTAGGAGGGACATTACTGTTACCAAAAACCAAGTTGGATTGAAGGATTTCATCACTGGAAAAAAGAAAAACAAGCAGTCATTAAGCAGACGAAACTGGTCAGAATTGTGTTTTTGAAAATCACAGGATCCCACCCCCAAAAAAAGATCTCCCTTTCTTTAAAGCTCAATTTCCTTAGGGGTTAAAGGTCACAAGTGTTGTGAATGTAGAGGCCCAGCTGTTTGACACTACTGGTGGCGCTGGGTTCAATTCCAGACCTGTGCTGTCTGTGTGGAGGTCGTATCCTCTCCCCCATATTCATATGGGTTTTCCTCCAGGTGCTCCAGTTTCCTCCCACAGTCCAAAGACATGCTGGGAGGTTAACTGGCTTCTGGGAAGCCTGGGAAGACTGGTCCTGATGTGAGTGTGGTGTGTGCGTTTGTTCTGTGTCCATGTGGGCACTGCGATGGACTGGCCTTGCACCCATTGCTTGCTGGGATATGCCCCAGCACCCCCACAACCCTAAATGGGAGAAGCAGTCAGCAAATAGTGAAGGGAGTCTGGCAGGAGTTTTACAATTTCTTCAATAACCCGAGCACTGAAGAGTTTGCTTTTCAGATCCATACAGAATTCAACTGGACATACAGTATTCCTGGAAGACAAAATCCACCATAACAAACATGCAAGAGAAATTAGACGTAAGTACTTCTCAAGATGAAATGCTTTCAAACATCTATGATATAAACAGTTTTCTTTCTACTGGGAAAGTAAAAGAGCATGGTCTATATTAACTGCACTGCCTTAATTGAGATAATATCAGATTTAGTGGGTCAAATCGATTGGCACATGCAGCAGCATCCCAACGATATGCAGGTTTCATCTTTGAGAATATAAGAGTATAAGTCTGTTGAGCTCATAATGAACTCTTTACATATGCCATGGCATTGTTTTATACTTTAACTCCAGCTCAGGATCTCATGGTTTCCGTATCTCATTTTCAGAAGAATTAACCATTTTCTAACAACCAGTTGTACTGAAAAACAGGAGAACGAATGCCTCTCCTTGCGCAACGAAATACACGCACTGCATTTAACGCTCTTTCCACTGGCATGAAAGTGAACGACATTTTACGCTCCGCTGATAAGCCTCTACGTTTGTTCACAAGTTCAGAACAGAAGCTCATCTCCTTTGAAAATGAATGACATTGAAATACAAACAAAAGCCCAAGTTAAACTCTGAGATGTCTTTATAGCCTTACCATATAGCAAGTTGGTAACTATGCCACATCTTCCTCTGCAACGTTTAAAAGAAGCCAAAGAAAAATTTTTTCTCAAAAAACACACACACAAAACAAAAGCACAGAGCCCACAAAAAAAAAAAAAATATCTCCTAATTACAAGATAGGATATTCTCGCGTACTTTACGCGATTATAGCACAACTGGTATACACTACCTACATTATCATTATCGTTTTCGTTAAATGACTTTCAGTTTTAAGCAATGGAAATGGCACACTCGCTCTTGTTTAAGGATACATGCAAGTATCCTCATAGTTAAAACGGTGTTCACATGTATAGTTAAAACTGTAACATTTCATGTATAACCTCCCGTGGAAAGTTAAGTCCATGCGCATTTAGCATGAAGCATTGCACATTGTCAGAACACTAAGGCCACAGTTCCAGCTGAGCTCTGTAGGTGCTGTCCTCGCTCGATGTAACAGGTTGTTCATACACTGTTCATATACCCCAATGCTGATTGCTATCTCATTATAACAAGAGATGTGTCTCATAATTACGAGATAACTTCTTATTTTTTTCCCTTGATGGCAGTAATGCAGTTCCGTACAAAACAATCCTAAATTCAATTCATTTGCAGCCACTTAAATTCCAAACGCACACAGAAAAGGAATCATACTGTATACGAACTACATGCGGTAGTGTATTAGGTGTATTACAGCCCGTAATGACAAGGTTGTGACGATAATAAAATAATTTTAGAAAATTACCTGCATCAGCTTCTTCCACCGCGTATTTAATTTACTTCCTTAAATTGCAGGGTGCCAGCCCAGTGCCTCCTTTGCCTCCAATCCTCCTCAAGGTACAGTACATCGAGATATTTGTATATAGTATATATAAATGTTTATGTATATTGTAACGTTTTCAGGGGGTGCCGGCTCAAAACTGGCTGGGATCTTAATCAAACAAAGCTAGAAAAGTAATTCAGCCTCAAATCTTTACAAACAGGTTCCTAATAATCCCTCACAGTTGAGACGCTCCTTAGACATGAAATGAGCAGGCCATTCCCCCCCACCCAAAGCATTTTGGGAGATGTAGTTTTTCGTCTCCCCTCCACAGATGAAACTATTTTTTTTTAAAGAGACAGGGACATATGAGTAGTGGCTTCTCAAAACTAGACGCAAAGTATACTCTGCCCCACATTTCTTCTCGATATGTATAGTATATATATATATGTATGTATGCATGTATACTGTATGAATACCCCTGCTGTCCAACAATATTTAATTTCCCCATTGCATTTGCATTTTAGTGATAGTGTCTAATGCATTTTATGGTTCTCAGAAGGGTTTCAGAAACGTTTTTCAAAATCCAGGTTAGTGCCACATTCAGCAAAGTCACAGTGTGTCTGTCATCTGCACTGATGTTGTCAAAACTGAAGTTGAAATTATCAAAACTGTGTATTATCTTGATTTACGGTTATACTTTCTAAACAATTTCTGAAGGAAAAGAAGCCATTTCCTAATCCATCTGCTCATTCGACATATACTGGATATTAGAATATCTCCTTTATTTGTTAAATGTTTATAGAGGTCTGCAAAAACTGTAGTTTCGTTTCAAATATATTTACATCTATTAGTAAAAAATCAAACACTCCCACTTTCTTTTTTTTTTTACGAAACCAGTGGTTTATTGTTCTTTATAATACTGTGGAAAAATAATTACATACATTTTGAAAAAATATCAGAAAATAAAAATAAAAGACACTCCTTTTTTACGCGAGAGTACAATGACCTTTAACCAAGAATACTGAATACAAATCTCCTCTTCTTCAGAACCACAAACAGGAATGATAACAAACAGTCCAGAAGGTTCATTCATACCGAAGTGAAAGGAAAACATTAAAACAGAGGAAATGAAATAATGGAACTGCTTGATTAAAAGAAGTGCTGTTTTTATTACTTTTATAAAACCCTTTTCCACACTGAGAATATTGAGCCTTTTGATAGAACTAACTTTTCGTGCAACTGATGGCTTCTTTTACTCTGAAACGGGTGTACAGTCGAGTATGCGGAGGGTGTATCTGTTAAATCTTTGGAGCAAAGACATTCTGAACCAACCCAACCTCATTCCTGAATTAAAAATGCCAATATATGATGGGGCGACTGTCAGATTTTCAGCTGCTGTGGCTTAAACACTGTAGTTTAGATCAACCAGGGTGCTGTAGCTTGGCAACAATTTGAAACGTATCCTCTAGAGTCGAAGGACTGTAGAAAATCCGTTCTCCCCCCCAGAAAAACAAAACAAAATGCCACCATCTGTCCAAATGTGAAGGCTTCTCCCTTGTCAGCCCTCATAAAAACCCCTCTGGACGAGGTCCCAAGCTTTTGCGCTGCTGAAATATTCCTGGGTAAAAGGTTAGTGATCGCCCCTTTTCCATTCATGACCCAGGGAACGGGACTGATCCATCGGGTCAATGATAGTCACCCCGGGTTCTGAAGAGATTCGCAGCTGTGCCTGTTTTCCAGTAATGTCGAACACCTCGACAGCTACACACTTGGAAATAAGTAAGATTAAAACCATGCTCTTAGAAAAATCAGGAGGTTCTCTTGTTCTCCAGGATCAGGAGTGAATATTAGTGGTAGGTTTCACGGCCTGTCTCTTCCTTCCACAGCCTTCTCATGAACAGGAAATCAGAGTGACTTTTATCGCTGGAAATTCAAGCAATAAACATCATCATCATCATCCTCCATCAGCATTGGAAGATGAGAGCGAACCCTAACCCTCATCAAGCCTTTGTTTCATGTCTGGGAAACCTTCTTTATGACTGGCCAGTACCACACTTTTTGTCTGGGAGGGCTACTGATCAGTTCTATTTCCGGAGCTGTGACTACAACATTCAGACCAAATCTGAATTGATGGGGGAGTTGGAAATGGGAAAAGCTGATTATTTTTTGTGGATTTCTGATCAAAAGGACTCAATATTCTGTTCAATTTTTAGGACATAAGGCCACACTCACACACCCTCCTCCGATCATCTCAGCAGCTTCTTCACGTATTGCTTATGCTTCTAAACTTCTGTCCGACAAACCTTTGAACAAAATACATCTTTTTTATTTTTGCTTTTTACTGTAGGCAGGATGAAACTGTGTATTCCAGTGTAATAAATAGATTGTTAAAGGACAGAACTATCTTAAGAACATCGAAGCCAATCGTGGTTGGTTCATGCCAGTCCCATGTAATGCCCCAAATCCCCTGCTTCTCTTTCTAATTGGCTAATTAAGTGAACACTTCATGCATTTTTTTCCAGGTTTATTTTGCCCCCAAAAAGTAACACATTTCAAGCTCCAGAGCAAATGCTGTAGTGCTCTGCACACCTGCAGCTGTGTGGAGGAGCTGAGAATGATGAAGAGGCGCTAATTAAGAAATTAGTTCAATCTAGAGTTCAATTAAGCACAAAGAAAGCCCAACTGGAACAAAATGGAGCAGTTACTGTGATCCAGAGGAAAGCTCGGGGGAAATGCAGGATAATTAGGGCACTGTTGCCTGAAACAAAAGTACGTCTGAGACAAAAGGATCTATTTTTCGTCAGTTTTGTGGAATTTGGCAGCGCAGCCTCAGTGTCACAGCTCAAATATCCTAGAGCAGCCCCTGAAGGAGACCCAGCAAAAAGCAAGCGCAGAAGTAACTTATGCACCGAGACAACAGCCAGTTTGCTGTGCTGTCTAGAAGAATGGGTTTCAAAGCTCATACGTACTGCTTTCCTTCTGCCTTTATTTCTGGTTCCTCAACTGGAAAGTTGACAATAACAGCTGAGCTCTGCCCTTCACCACCACAATATGATGATGATGAGAATAATAATAATAATTGCTTACACTTATATAGCGCTTTTCTGGACACTCCACTCAAAGCGCTTTACAGGTAATGGGGACTCCCCTCCACCACCACCAGTGTGCAGCCCCACCTGGATGATGCTCCAGTACTCTCACCACACACCAGCTCTCAGTGGGGAGGAGAGCAGAGTGATGAAGCCAGTTCAGAAGAGGGGGTTATTAGGAGGCCATGACTGGTAAAAGGCAGGGGGAAATGAGCTGGATTTTCAATGACCACTGAGAGTCAGGACCACGGTTTTCAATCTAAAGGACAGGGCCTTTTTTACAATACTCCCAACACTATACTGGGGCATTAGAAGCCACACAGACCAGACAGCCGCTGTACTACTGTGATCAATTCCATGATCCCCTCTATCCTTGCTATTTAACAAGACCTCTGAGGTACTGAACCCCCCCAGAAAAGCTGATTTCAAATTGCTTTTACACCATGGGTGGCGAACCCTGGAACTGGAGAATCACAATTCAGCACCTTTAAATCACTTTTCTAAACACGTGGAACAATTTCATCCGGCTTACAGTAAAACAGCCCCAAACGACACCAAAGGAACAGCAAATTCAATATACAGGAGGATTCTTTATGACACACGTGTCGTACCAATAGTAATAATACAAAAGTACTGTAGTGCATATAAATATTTTTTTTTCTTTTCAAATGTACACAGGTTTTCTTTTTCAGCTTGTTGTTTCACCGTCTTCGTCAATCAGGATAAAAAAATAATAATAATAATAACAATGGTAAATAACAGTAACAAACATAATCGGAGTATTCATCATAACATAAGAGCAACGGTACAGTAATAATAAAATTAAAAAAATGGAATGTTCGGAAACCTATTTACAAAGTCCTGGAAGATGTTGGAAAAAAACGTTGGAAGATGCCAGTTTCAGAGAAATTCTGTCTGCTGGGGGGGAGTTGGAGAGGGGAGACGTGAATTTTGGACGCACGTCGTCACGGTGATAACCATGATGAAACCCAGACAGGAAGAAGAAAACCACGAGTGATTGTCGCCGAGAGAAAACAAATGACCTACCCTCCCCACCCTCACCTTCCTATCCCAACTCGCTGTTTTTTTTTTAATAAAAAAGTTCTTTCGCACTCGAGCACCTTATGCGAGACGCTTTCACCGCCCGAAGTGTCCCGAAATTTCTCGGCGGCCGCCGCCACCTTTTTCAAACGCGCCTTTTTCCTTCCAGAGACGAAGCTCCATGTTGTGCGGTCACTTTCTCTGGAAATCGCCCGGGCGTCGGTGAATCCCGGTTTCTCGCCGTCTCGATTCCCAGACACACGCACACGAGCGATATCCGCCAACCGCGGCAATAAAACAAGAGAAGAAAAAGCCCCTATTTCCACTCATTAGATAAACAAATCAGGGGGAGCTGACATCGTATCGGCCCCCGGCTGACAGAGGCAATGGTAAACGAGCCACATATTAAAGACTGATTTAATATGCTCTAAAGACGTCTCCTTTACAACTCGGATTGAATGATGTAAGGAAGCACAAATCTCAAAAAGATTTATCCACGCCATAAAGGCTGTGGACCTCTCTCTCTGTGCGAGCACGTGAAGAAAGCCTTTTTGTCTTTATCAGGCATCAGAGACAGGTTACGGGGGTTCAGTTTGACTGCACTGTGAGGCCCCAATAACACTCCAGTCTGAGAGAGAGAAGACTCATCCAGGATCAGTTTGCGCTCAAGAGAGTTTGGGGCAGGCAGTTTCTGAAAGGTATCTTCTGCTCGCGGGAGAGTCCATGCGGGGAGCACTAAGACTCACAAGCAGCCCCGACATTCGAGGAGAAGCCAGATTCCGTTGCAAAGTTCTCCTTCGCTTCGGCGCCGTGCTGTTCCAAGAAGCTGAGGAATTCAGACCAAACTCAGTTGGGCTGACCCGCACATTCAAGGATCAGGTTGAGGGATCTCAGACGTGGTGAGCCCACAAGACAGGACGTCCTCGTTGAGCACTGCATGTTCTTGGATATACTAGTAGTCTTCCTTGTGCCTTAGGCTTCCCATTCCATTTGAGCGAATGAGCTCTTGTGCTCAACAGCTTGAGTTTCCGTAACATGGTAAAGAAATCTGATCAACAGGGTGACCAGCCGGCCCTAGGCTAACACTTCAGAGACGCAATGAGTTTTTGAATAAAATTGCAGAGGTCATCTAAGGATAACCTGATTT